CACGATCTCATGTTTTAACTGCATGCTATATGTAGGTTGTGAAGTTGTGTGACCTGGGTATCGATGACACTGTCTGTTCAGTCGGCTGGGCACAACGTGGTACACACCTTGCTGTTGGAACTGGCAATGGAAACCTGCAGGTGTGATATAGATCTCTTTTTTTAACCTCTTTTTTCTATAAAGTGCATTGGTGCATTAACCTTTGGTAATGTAACAAAGTATTTTGAAAAAATGTCCCTTTTGGAATGGTATGAAATACAATTTGTAGAAGGTTGAGTTCCCCAGGAGCTCGTTAAAATGTGCTGAGAGGTTTTAGTTTTACTTAATGTTGTTGCTCACGTGGCTCTTTATGTAGATTTTATCAAATATGGTGTGCCTAAAACAAAGTAGCTCAAAAGCTATGGAAATGGAAATTTTTGGGATCTGTCATTCTATTCTCAGTATAAGAATGTGAATAGGATCCAAAAATCTGCAGTTAATAATCACACTGTTCGCATAAAACTCATGCTAATTCCAGTCATGAAAGACTAATTAATTTTTAGAGACATGTCAATCAGGAAAGCATAATAAGAATAATGAATCAATGGTAATATTACAGGATACTTTTGAGTAATAATTGAATGGAGTTACATTTGAATGAGTATGTTTGCTTGTAGGGCATTGTTGTCACATGGAGTTTTCTGATTAAGGTTATTCTGAATTATACTTACTACATATGATACGAATTCTCAGTTGTGAGTAGCATAGGATCCATCCATATGCATATTGCGATATGCATGGAAAAAGCCGCTTGCTTCTTTTTAGGGTGGATTTTTATATATTTCAGCGGTGGCATTGTTTATCCCATTAGGATGAGAAAACACCAAAAATATGAGTTAAGATTTACATATAAAGGCATGAAAACTGTGCAAGGCAAAGGTTGTATTGACAAGATGTAACATGTAGCACATTTGGAATAAAAAATATCCTGACAGTGCATTGGACTTCGATATTTTTTGTTGTTGCAAAGATGTAAACATTTAAGAGTCACTTTGATGGGGATGTATCCTTTGCTTCTGGGTCTTTCAGTATGTCAGTAGATTTGACAAAGTTAAAGAGTAACCTTGGGTGACATTTATTGCAAATTAGTTCACTTTCAAGTCAAACTAGATCGTGCTTTTCAAAAGCCTGAAATAAATCTCGGAGAGCTTATACTTTTGTACTGCAGTGTAGTTTGTCTCCATGGTTATATTAACTGCTTCATTTACTTTGTTCCATGAAGTTATGGGACGCTACTCGTTGTAAGAGAGTAAGAACAATGGAGGGACATCGGCTACGAGTTGGTGCACTAGCCTGGAGCTCATCTATGTTATCTTCAGGAAGCCGGGACAAGAGTATTCTTCAGCATGATATACGAGCTCAAGACAATTATGTTAGTAAGCTAAGTGGACACAAGTCGGAGGTCAGTAACCCTTCTTGATTCTGCATAATTTAATATTGTAGTGTATGGAAGCTTATTTTTCTTTTAATATATTAAGTAGCATTACACCTATAATCATCTTTTAGGTGCCTTTCTTGTCTGAACATGAGCTACCTCTGTTTTAGGTTTGTGGACTGAAGTGGTCTTATGACAACTGTGAATTAGCATCTGGTGGAAATGATAACCGTGTATGTATTCATCTTCAATTCTGATGCTTGCTGGTGGGTTGGTTTGCCAAAGAGCTCACTTTTATGTAAATTTACTTGCTAGTAAACAAGTAAAATTTCAAGATAAATATATTTTGTTGGTTAAAATTCTAAGAGTGGTTGTCATCAGAGAAAAAAAAAAAAAAAATCTGAGAGTAGGTCGTTTTGATAACAAGTCGGAGTTACTTTTAAAATAAGCAATTTTTTTGATGTAGAAGTAAGAAAAAAGTAAATACTCCTAACACATGTTTAGAAACAAAAAGCTACTTAATTTTCCTTGTTTGAACTTAGCCAAACATGATCTTATTTGGACTGGATATACCTTATCCAGTTGTTCGTGTGGAACCAACATTCAACTCAACCAGTTCTTAAATACTGTGAGCACACTGCTGCTGTAAAAGCAATTGCATGGTCACCCCATCTTCATGGACTCCTTGCTTCTGGCGGTGGTACCGCAGATCGATGCATTCATTTCTGGAACACGACCACCAACTCACACCTGAATTGCATGGATACTGGAAGTCAGGTAGCTTGCTTATGTTTTTTCCAGCTTTCCTTTAAAATTAAAGTTCTATGAAGTTTGAATTATGTTATGGTATTCAAAAAGAAATCCTATCATTGAGATCCAATTTCTCATACCACGCTCATACAAAATGAATAGCTATAGCTTTATCCGATTGGATATCTGTCTGAATGTTTAGCGACGTTCCCTACTGGGCTAGGAGATATGAAACTTTCTGTATGTGTGTTTTTATGATCTTGAGTATTTCATTATTTTGCTGGTTGGAGATTTTTTATTTTCCTATTCTGTGGAGATTGAATTGGTGGAGAAGAGACTACAGCACAAATCAACAGTTTCGAGGCATTGCACAAGAGATGACCATTAAGTTTGTGCAAGTGGGACGTGATTCTCGAGATCCTATAGTTCTTTAGTCATGTTCAGGCTAATCTCTTAAGAGTTTGCGAAAACATATTAATAAATGTTGGGTTTGTTCAGAGGTTCATAAAAACGTAGAAGTATGGTGTTATATTAAAACAAAATGGTGCAATTAACTTTATTTGTTTCATGCTAACTGACAAAGTATTTATTGGTTTGAATTGATTTGACCCACTGTTGTGAGGTATCCTATTGTTTTTAGACCCTGTTTGGCCCCCATTACGGGGAAAATTTAATGTATAGAATAGTGTTTTTTGAAAAATGAGTGGTTGAAAAAGAAAGAAAATTTTTCGATTTACGTGTAATATTATTTTATGGAAGATTGTGTGGTTGAAAATAGGAGAGAGAAAAGTAGAATGTAATGTAATGTAATTTAATGAAAATCAAACAAGTGCTAGTGTCACCTTCAAATTTTGCTAAATGTTACTTGGACGGAAGGTTGAGTCACTGCTTTGATTTAGATTACTTAAATTTCATAATTATAGCATGTTTGGGAATAGGGATTAAGCTCTAATCCTAATTAGGATACCAAGATGAAGAGAAATGAAATCAGAAACACACGAGCGACACAACACACATGTAGCTCTCACTCAATATCACTCCACTTGCTGCTGTAAGTGTTTACCATAAACTAGAGAAAGGGTAATGGTAACTCACATCTCTCTACCTGTCGCGGAGAATATGGCTCCCTAAAATAATCCTTAGTATATCTAGATTTTCGAGTTGATCTTGCTGCATAGGTCGACCTGCAGTGAAGGGGATAGCTATACAGTGTTGTTAGGTGCCACGCAGTCTAACTAGGCAGAGTATTGGAGAGAGTTTGTCATTTTTTTCACTTAATTAGATTGCAAATCAAATTACTTAGTAACGTCCCTCAATTTCCTCTGTTTGGTAAAATTCCTTATTCTCTTTCGGTACGTGTCAGTCTCATATTAGAATTTGAACATTAACAATGTAATATAATTTTCGACCACATAGCAATGACCATTATGTAAAGAGTGATATTTCAGGTTTTTCTTTATTTATTCTTTTTGGTGAATGCAATTGGTATTCTGACAAACATGTTGCACTCTCTGAAATATTTCCCCTTTTCTTTTTGGTGGTCGAAGTTACTGAAAATCCTTGAGTTATGCTATGGCAGGTGTGCAATCTTGCATGGTCCAAGAATGTCAATGAACTTGTCAGTACCCATGGGTACTCCCAAAACCAGATTATAGTTTGGAGATATCCCACAATGTCAAAGGTACTGTAATCTAGTATATTACTTAAAGAAAAATGGATGCTCAAGCAATATTTGCATAATACGTTTCTAATATCGTCTCATAATTCATGTAATTTTTCTGCTAGTGCAGTTGGCAACTCTCACTGGTCATAGTTACCGAGTTCTTTACCTTGCCATTTCACCAGATGGACAAGTAACTAAACGAAGCTGCCATTTTTATCTACTTTGTAAGAACAAGTGCGCTAATACTTGAATTTTTGTTTGATGCTATAGACAATTGTGACGGGGGCGGGAGATGAAACACTTAGGTTCTGGAATGTGTTCCCTTCTGCCAAGTCTCAGGTGAACCATTCTGTCTTGTGATTATCAAATTCAGAAGTCTTTTCTGAATAGACTATATTACTCTGAACGCGTGTCTTAAAGCTGGACAATGACCAACTAAATTAGTAAAGAAAATTACTTATCTCGTCCAAATAAAAAGACTGTTTTTATTAGTTTTTTTTGTCTCAATTCTAAAGAAAGGCGAAGCATGACGGTATTCAAATGTACTGTTTTCCACAGAACACGGAAAGTGAAATTGGAGCTTCTTCTCTCGGAAGAACTCAGATAAGGTGATCTTTCGTGGCCTTGAACCTTTGCTGCTGTTGCTGCTAACTTTAAGGTGCCAATATCTATTTTCTATCACTAGTAGAAATCAATTCTACCCCGCAATAGAAGGCGATGCAGAGGCTCTGATTGAACATAATTCGAGTAAGACACGATGGTCCTCGCCATCTTGTTGAATGTTGATTGAAGATAATTTACATTGTTGATAGAGGAAAGAATCTGAGTGGGAGATGTTATTTAAAGCTCAATAACATTTCCTCTGCTTATAGAGAGAGGTTTGACTTTAATATTGTAAATAAATTGTTTTTCTTTCTTCAGCCCAAAAAAAAAAAAAAAAAAGGTGAATTGTTCATTCTATTTGTTATCGAAACTTTAATACTATGTTATGTGTATCATAATCTGCATCCTTGCAAATGGAATTCTTCATTCCCTCGATTTTCGATCAAGGTTGAGAATATTTATCAACCGTGGTTTGAGAGTATCTTTGGATCGCAATCTAGTGCTCTTGACCGAATGAGCCGATCCGTGGGGCATTATAGTTCTTGAGCACATTTGAAAAGAATGATGTATCGAATTGAAATGTGTTTTTTGAAATACTAAATTTTTTGAAGAATATGTTAATAAAAAATAGAAAAAAAGTTTAAATTTATGTGTAAAATATTTTATTGGGAAAGTATGATTATTAGTGACTTTTATTTATTTATTTTTTTGGGGGGAGGGGTGTGATTGGATATTTTAGAAAATGATAACAATCATGAGAAACGTTTTCCAAAATAGAAAACAAACAAACATCATAACAATTTCGCAAATATTGAAAATATTTAAGAAATTTTGATATTGTTTAGTGAGAAAGACTGATGCTTATACAAGTAATAGAAAAAATCGTAGAATAAAGAATTTATACAACAATAATCTTGAATACAAATCATACATAGCATTCCTACGACAATATTTCTTAAGATATGTTTTAGCAAGAACAATCAAATAAATATACACGTACACGTCATGTTTGGTATATTAAATTGTCGTCTAAAGAAATTTATAAATGCAATGGACATGACAATTACGTATTTCGTCCAATACTTTTCTTCTGTAATCCTATTCAATCCAGTACACCACGAGTGTACATTTAAGGTCACAATGGAGACTATTATTTATATTTACGCACATTTTTAGAATGCAAATGAATGAGATATCAAGAACCACCACCAGAGACAAAATTCTGCTGCCCCTGGTGCATGCCATTGGGGGTGAATTCACCAATCTCGCTCACACCAGACAGATTTTGGGCCCATGGAATCAAACCCATTGGTGGGAAACAACAATTGCAAGCCTCCTCACATGGCTGAGGATTATCATCATCACAAATGTTGTAGGCTCCATTGGCCCCACTAGAAGGAGATGATGCCTCTTTGAGTGGGCCCCAACACTCCACCTTGTTGAATTCTGGTATGTTGGAATGGAAATATACCCAAACCAATGCCTCCTTTAGGTCTGGATGATTGTCAAATAAGCTTTCATCCCCATGAACAAATGCCTTCAATACCTAATCCCATTTCACAATATTAAAAAATTGATGAAAAAAGATTGAAAACCTCCTACTTACATTTCACGCAAGTTCAATACTGTGCTCTAATTTTTTTGCTAAAATTTGATGTGAATTTCACGTCCATAGAACATAACGTGATTAGACTTCATATTCGTTGAGATGAGCAAACAAACGAAGTATTTTGATTACTTCCGACAAGGAGTTATAAAGTCGACAACTCTAATTAACAATGTATTTCATAAGTGAAGTGTAAAATCATCACATAAACTAAATGTAACACTTAATAGTGATAAATAGAGGAGAGCTTACCACAGGAAGTTCCTTGCAAAAGATGTAGTATCTGAGCCTAGCACAGAGATCCAATAAGAAATGACCACCACTTATGTGACAATGAACATGAAGAGACATTTTTTCTTTGATTTTCTTCCACTCTGCCACCACTTCATCTCTCTGTAGTCTATTGTACCACCCTTGTAACTGCAATCAAAATCCCAATTTCTCCTTTCTTTAAATCTCAAAATAGTAATATAATATAGCCATAATGGTATAAATTCCTCCCCTTGTCTTATTTATATAGGCTTACTTTCCTCATTTTCTTGTCCCAGTTATATAGTTCTGTTTCTTTATTGAGCTTGCTTTCTTTTGTTAGTTTATTAATAGACCATTATTTAATTTGCCTAGTTATAACAAATTTTTCATTTAATCTTGAAATTGTAAAAATTTAAATAAGGATAAACTAGGAAAATTATTAGCAAAAAAAATTACCTTTTCAATAACATTAAACCCCTATTTGTTTCCAATTCTTTCCTTATTAAAATGAAAAATATAACCGTTATCCATCATGTCAAGTCACCAAATTTGAATTTATATATCTTGTGTGAAGTCCATAACGGTTATATTTTTCATTTTCATTCTTACGAAAATGGGAAAAAAATTGGGTCTAAATAAGATTTCTTAATCCACGTGAAAAATAAAACAAGCTTATATAAATGAAACGGATTGAGTAAGATAAGACAGCGTATTTCAATCCAGAGTAGAGTATTGGTGTCTCATGATCCACACGATACATTGAGGTTTCGAAGTTAAAAAGTTCATATAAAATTATTGGTCCACGTGGTCGACTTGACATGGCTCAACATGTCTAGATAAAGTCCACCTATCAGACCTAACTGAAGTCTAAACACGCCAAGGAAAACATGCCTAATTCACATGGTCCACTTGTGTTTTTCCCTCTAGAGCACTCCAAGTCGTAATCTTTTCTTTTTCTGAAAACGTCTTAGCCCCGGTTCCGTCCTTATTCTCCGTCTCATTCTCATTCTCATTCTCATTCTTTCTCACTGTCTCTTTCTCTTTCTCTTTTTCTTTCTTATTTTTAACAACACAATTTTTCTTAAAATAATATTACACGCAAATTCAAAATTTTTTTTTCAACCACACATTTTTCAAAAAAAACATTATCCCAACCATTAAAATTTAGAAAGAACGGGAACCAAACGGGGCTCAGCAAAAAGATTACAATGAACAAGTTTGACTGTCTCTAAAATCCCTGTTTTTCCTCTGTTTTTTATTCAATACCAAAATAACTTCTTAAATAATTACCAGTCTTTAATTTTAAAAAAATAAAAATAAAAAATTGTACAAACTTCTGATGATGTTTTTAGTTACCTGGGAATTGTTTATAGTTTGAGAGATGGCAAGAGTGAGCTTAGAGGTTATATCACTGTGTGTAAGTGTATATGTTCTTGGAAGCTTCCCTGGATGCTTCTTCTCATCCACTCCTAAGAACAATACCTTCAATTTTGATGCCTCAAATATTGCAGGTCCAAATAATCTAGCCACCTGATCCAACACACACAAAAATTACTAAAATTTATACAGATCTGTATGTAAGAGACAGATGAACATGTTACATCACCTCCTCTAAAAATATGAGCATTCATTTATTTGTGTATATTCATCTTCAAGACATCCCTGTATATGTATGTCTTACACCAGATTATCTAATAGCTCAAGCGATTAGAAATAAAACAAAAGTTATTTTCGAGCACTTCATAGTACTTTTATTGAGAATTTTAAAACCTAATTCTATCCCATCAAGAGCAATTAATTTAAACAAAATAAAATAAACGATCAAGAATTCACAAGATTTATAGAGATTCGCTCAACGAGATTCGCTTAACGTCAGATTACGTCCTCTCCATCATTGCAGTAATTCACGTGATGAAAATATTTATAAGAGAAAATATCAATCCTATCTTTTATAACCTCTCCTTTTTTATTTTATTTTATTTGATGATAATAGAGAAAGGCTATGGACGGGTTTCTATAAGATAAATTAGGGAAAAATCGATTTTTACAATAACTCCATTCCTTTATAAAATTTTAAAAGAATACAAATTCCTATAAATTCTTAACTAAAATTTTCTCGGGGTGCACCCGGAGGGGGCCACCTACCCCTTCCAACCCCATGACAACGTTACCATAGAGGTCGATCCACGACTAGCTCTGAAAAGTGGTGACAATTGGACTTTACAACTTAATAACTTTCGAGTCCCAAAGACTAGAACTATGTTAGTTGCAGGAGAGAGATTAAAATATCCAACAGGCTTCAAACCTCTGTAATTATTAATTAATCAAAAAAGTGATTTTCTCTATATATATATATACACACACACATATACATATATATATACACAGAGAGAGAGAGAGAGAGAGAGAGAGAGAGAGAGTTACTGGGACTATAGAGTGGTTCTTCTCGCTTCTCCTTCTCCTTGTTCTGTGCACCAAGAAAGAATTATTTTCTTGTTTGAGTGAAGAAGATTTTAGGTTTGATGGGAGCACTGGAGTTGCAGTCAAAGTGCCCATCCCAGAAACCTAGAGAAAGGGAGAGGGATCTAGAGAGATAGAGAAGCCCTAAGCTCCAGATCTTCGACAATTCCAGAGAGTTTTAGAGAGAGAGAGAGAGAGAGAGCGCATGAGCATATAAGCTACCGAGTCCTCCAACTTTTTTTGAGCAAATTTTGCATATTCTGTTAACTTTTAAGTTGGTTTTGTCTCTCTTTCTTCGCTTGGATGACTAAACTACTGAAACTTTGAAGACTCGCATTCTTGCGTGAGCCATCGGCTTTCTCTTTATAGAGAGAGAGAGAGAGAGAGAGAGAGAGAGAGTGCGTGCGTGTGTGTGTGATTGCGTGTCCAAATTTGAAAAATGTAACAGTTGAAGGCGGTTGCTTGTTAGTTCAAACTTCTCGATGAAAATAGTTTTAATAGGCGCATGCTTTATAGGTAACCACATAAATGTATAATTTAGCCCTTTTTGTTTTTCATTATTTTGCCATTTAAATAAAAAATATGACTATTATTCATCACATCAAACTACAATTTTGAATTTCTATTTTTTATATGAGGTCCGGAACGACTATATTTTTTATTCTCCTTTTTATATTAATGAGAAACAAACGAATTAATTTCTTGCCACACTTGTCGGTTGAGTTAGTTTGAGAAATTTATCCATCTTTAACTTGTTTCCATACGTTTAAACAATTTCCTTCTAAACAAATGTTTATTTAAAAAAATTTAAAATTATAGTTTTCATAAGATGCACAATTTTTATCAATTTTTTAACTTTTGCTAAAATTACTAAAATGTTATCAAAGGTTTTCTTAATATAATCGTTAAGCTTACTTTGTTACTTATTGATGATAAATTAGACGTATTTTTTATTAAAATAACATTTTAAATAAATGTGTGTCATAGGAACCTATTGATCTTTTTAATAGTCTACTATTTAGATCGTATGATGTAGGTTGACCTAGGGATTGAAAAAACCATGATTTCCCGACCCGAATAGGGAGAACTCCTCATCCTATCGGGTTCGCATTGCAAGTATGTGTGTGTGTGTGTCTCTATATATATATACCCCTATCTCGAGTTGGGTACGAAATGGGACAAGTATTGATTGTTTCCATTTTTTATTATTTAAAAATAAATTAGATTTCAAAATAAGGCAGTTTATATAACATTAAGTCCCCGTTTGGCCCCTATTCTACTTCTCATTCTTTTTCTCTATTTTATTTTTATCAATCATATAATCTTCCATAAAATAATATTAAACAGCAAATAAAAAAATTTTCATTCTTTTTCAATTACATATTTTTCAAAAAAAATACTATTCAAACCATTAAAATTTGAAATGAACGGAGGCTAAATGAGACAATAAACAGTGCAATGAGTGCCCTACCCCAAATCTGGATCCACCCTGTGTTAAACGGGGCATGGAGAGAAAAATACGAACGAGATGGGGCGTGGGATGGTGACCTCACGTTGCCCTGCCTCAAACATCCCATTATCATCCCTAAGTCGATCAATTCTATATTTTTCCATTTTGAGCTTGCTTAAGTAAATTTTGGACCAAATCCCATCAGCAAAAAGTAGTTTGGTGATAGTTATAAGTAATTTGCACAGCTAAATTTCACAACTTCTTCCTTAGATATTTTAATTTATGATCTTACTAATTCACCTCGATCTAACCATTTAGCCGTTGACGTTTTACCTTTTTGATATGGATATATATTTAGATTGCATTTTTATTATTATTATTATTATTAATCTTTTTATTTTTTTACCATTTTTAGTGACATTGGATCACAAATCGGTTGGTTTAACCTGGCCCCATTTGTTGTACATTAATGTAAGAATGAAAATGAAAAATGTAGTCATTACGGCCCCACATAAGAAATAAAAATTCAAATATGGTAATTAGATATGATGGATAACGATCATATTTTTCATTTTAATGGTTATATAATAAAAAACAAACAGGGGCTAAATAATCAAAACTACTTTGATCGCGTGTGAAACAATTTCAAAATTTGAAACTATTAGGCCCTGTTTGGAGCGATTTTGAAAATTAATTTTTTGATCATTGGGAGAAAAGTGAGAGTCACTTGCGAGAAAGGAAGTCAAACTTTACGAGTGAAATAATGAAATAACGATCAAAAAATTAATTTTTTTGGGTGAAAAATCACTCCCAAACACTCTCTAAATAAGTCAAGAAACGGCTAGATCATCTCAAAATTGTTATCTTCCTTTTACAATTTGATTTCTATTATTAATTATTCCAAATTCTATTGGATTTTTTTTTCACTTTTGTTGATATTGTTGAAATGTGGTCATGGAAGTCAAAAGCATTGCGTAACACAGCACGAATTAAACACTAATCTAGATCCACTGGACCCTACCTACTAAGATATAGACACTTTTGGAATGTTCTCAAATGTCCAATTGACCAGCGCATTGTTTTCTAATTTGGCAGTTAAATTTCTTTTTTCTTATACATTTTTTTCTCAAATTACGTCACTATCTGAGAAGAAAAACAAAAGAAAAAGATGATATTTCAATATGCAATCACACTGCGCGCCAGTTAAGGAATAAAATACGATGATTAGCTAAATAAAGAGATTCCGATCCAGCCTAATAAATTGAAAATAGTATTCAAGAAACTTAGAAATTGGGGCCGAACCAAAACTATTTGTTTAAATTTAGTAAAGTTAATTACGTAGCGGACTAAACCTGATTCATTCAAAACAGATCAATTCGAGCTAACTCTGAAGCCAACCCAAAAAATGAAAAAATAAAAAATTTGTGAGTGCATGTTTATCAAAAGTCCACCTAACGAAAGCAGGCAAATCAAACAACGAAAAAATCGACTTATGCAAGGTGAAGCAAGCGTGGAAAATTGCTAATGGTGCTTTAGTCTTGATTCTCATCAAATGTTGTTTGCTAAGATCAAAGAAGTATTAACCTATATATGGATTTGGGTACCCCTCATGCAATAGTGGATAGATCTCAGATTATTCATTTTCTTAAAACATATGTGCAATACACACAATTCATATCCATAATATATATTTATAATTATTTTATTTGCATTATATTCAAAGAATTCAGTAGTGTTAAGTGCTTCCTTCAGGAAGCCTCTATGTTAAGTTATATCCATGTTTGGTTCAGTTAAAAAAATTTGACAAAAAATTAAATTAAGGTAAATATCTAATTTTAACGTCATATTTTATAAGATCCACATATTTCATCAACTTTATTCAAGTTCACTTAAAATATGATTTCTAGCAAAATCAGAAAAGATTAATTATTTTGTAGCTCTGCCTCAGGTCGATGTCATGAAGCAACAACATCAATAGATTTTTACATATTTTAAGTGTTTGAATTACCAGTTTAAAGGTTGAGAGAAAACAAGTAATGTTATTTGTTTGGAATGTAAAAATCACTTTTTCAAACTCAAAAATGCTCTCTATTATGCATAAGATGCTATTTATAAATAGTCTTTTGGAGATACTCTTATGCATTTTATTTATGGTTATATCTATTATTTATTTGAATTATTATTTATTTGAATTACTATTCTACTTGTGATTAACAAATTACTAAAACTTGAGTCGTAAATCGTCTGTGATCGTAAGTAATAATGAGATATAAATATTGTTATTATGGATAGACCATGACGTGTGGCATATCTTACTTGTGAAGTAAGTAATCGATCTCATAAGTTAAAGTATAGTGACACCTAAATAAACACGTGAATGTTTTGTTGTAGAGCAAAACATTAAAGACTTGTATGAGAGATTCTACATGAAGAACTATATAAGTTTCAATGGTTAATCTCTAACACTCAATAGTAAAAATTGGTCTTTCAACTTGTGGTCATCATAGTGCCTTATATGAGAACAATCATATTTTGGTGATATTGGATGTTGTTCTACCAAGAGTCATTAATACGACATAGTTCAAGTATGTCAACAATCATATGAAAGTTATGAATAATTAATAGATGATTCATCACTCTTAGATAGTAAGATGTTATAATATATATATTTCATTCGTTAAGTTGATAACAGAAATTTTTGGCCAATGTGTATTCATACGTCGAAAAAAGTTTTCGACTTACATTGACTTAATAATGGGATGAAGATATGATCGATAATCAAAATTGACACACTTCATATTTAGTAATTGATCGAATCACATTGACGAGGGGGTTATAGTTTCGCGGTAAACAAACAAATTTGATTTTGTCATATCACGTGACATTTTCGTCGAGTGTGTTGCCCCAACACATTACTAGATGTCAATATGAGACGATGGATTTGAATTGATTAATCTAGTAAATTGATGATAAATAAAAAAAGATGCTTTAAGTTATCTTATTTTGATTAGATCAAAATAATAATTCACGTAGTTATATAGCTTGATTGGGAACCGAATGAATTACATACAAGACATAGAAGAATGATGTCACTAATTAATTAATATACAAATGTTGGACGATTGTATAATTAATTAATTGGATTGCTTGTTAATAGACCTAAGTTAATTAATTGGATTAATTACTTTATGGACCAAGTTTAATTAATTAGGTTAATTAAATATAGGACTAGATTAAATTTAAGGGATAGGTCAAATCTATGTAAATTTCTATTAATAAACTGTTAGTGTTTGAAAGCACAAAAAAGACAATTATCATTTCACTAGCATAAGAAAAGAAAACCCATAATTCTCTTATTCTTATTTTCTATATGAATTTTCATTGAAAGTTGGACAATTGGATATTTGAAAATTGCAGCTCATGTTTAAGATAAGCCATGGAGTTTACAAAATTTAACAAAGGTATAATTCCTATCACAGTTTTTTCTTCATGAATACAAAGTAAATCTTTGATGGGATTTGGAATATTGTTTAAATTTCACTATGCAAGTTAAGTAAATTTCCAACACAAGTGGGGTGAAAAGACTCACCTGTGTGTTGATCGATTCTATAGACTTAGTTAAGTTTGCAATATATGTATGGGAAAATAAGGAAATTGAGTACATAAATTTAGAAAGTGCGGAGTAATTTGGTGATTCTCCCTATTTTGACTATGGTCACCACAAATCAAAGAAAGGGGATGCTAAAGAAGAAGCGGAGCTCTTGAGTGTCTTTGATAAGTGCATTTTGTGTACTTATTCGGACTATATTATCAAGTTTTTATGTCGTCAAATTATTAATTTATACTTAATTTGAGTTAATTTTCTTTTTCTTTT